GTCAAATGAATAATTTTTGAATAACTTAAATTAACATAAAACTTTTTCGTCAACAATTAAAACATGAATAAATTAAATTAACACATCCAAAATTGAATTAGGAGAAACTTTCTAACATTGCTGCATAAGTGTGATGCAATCCTTCCGTATCTGAACGTAAAAAATAGTTTTTGAGATTAATCGCAAATTGCGCCGAGAGACATTTTTTTCTAATTAAAAAATTAATTCCCCAGCGAAGTCGTCAGTTTTCCCCTAAAAATAACAGTCCCTGAAAAGCTACCCTCTTAATCGAGCATTTGTCTTTAGCTGCGGTCTCTGCTAGTCCCCGCCAATGATATTTCAGGTATAACGCGGCCTCTTTAGCCGGTGGCAATTGCCGCGTCCCTGTAAACGAGCCTACTTATCCGGGGGTTGATTTACCTCCCTCGCAACGCACATCGCCGCAACACCGCTTCTCGTTGGCAGAATGAGCAATGGTCCGAAACGAGCGAGAACAGCTTGTTAATTAACTCAATTAAATTGTCAGATATTACTTTCGTTCTGCCATCCATCCACGCCCCTCGTGTCCTCGTAATATTTCCATAACAGAGAAAGGGTCGTTATCCTCGAGTGTGCCGTAAATTCAAATAATCCAAGCGTGTACTTTATTATATATATATATATAATTTTCGTCGCGGTTCTGGGCACTCACTACGGGGTATGTTACCAGAGACAATTGGAGAAAGAGTAGTCGAGTTCCAACACATCTCACGCGATGGCCTTATCGTATTTCCAAATAGAGAGTCGCCGTTACACCAGGTGCTAGCCATCCTCGAAAACAAGAATAATTACGTGATTTCGCGGTAGCGGATGGCGAAAAGGGCCGGAAAAAGGGGCGCGCGAAAGGGCGGTGAAGAGGAGGAAAAGCTGACACCGGTTTCGCGGGCGGCAACAGTGGCGGTGGTGGCCATGTACTTTACAGGGACAAGCGGCTTAGCCAGCCATGCCGGTGAACATAATTCATCCGGTGTAACTCGGTGTCTCTCTCTTCTCCGTTACTGGCAACACGTTCCAACGCACTTCGCACGGACGGTGGAAACGGGAGGAAGTCTCCCTGCTCTTATTTATGGTATTACGCGACTGTACATTCAGATTCGGTCGTCGTTTCACGGTAGCGGCGGCGGCGGCGGCTCTCCATGTACGGAAAATGGCTTTTGCCAAGGCGTTACCGAATTATTTATATACAAGATAAAGTACACCGGTTAGCTGCTCGGACGACCCCCAAATCTGCCCTCGTTGAAGTTCATTCCTTTGGTAGTAGTGAATTTAGTTCCGGATTGCACGCTTTATGCGGTTAAGATAATTGTACGTAAGCAGCGCTTTTGAAAGTGAATTTTACGATGAAAACTGCGCTATTATCGAGATACTCCGCTTGTCTACTAACTTTGTTTCTAGGCATTCTCGTGGCAAGAACTGCAAAGTTGTTGAATTTCTAAGAATAATTAATAAACTATCAACTATTAATTCGATTACTTTTCTTTCTTTATTTTGGAAGCTTGGTCTTTAACGTAACGAGCAATACGATCGTTATTCGAAAGGCAATATTTATGTTAAAAAACTTTTATTTATTTAAAATGAAAGAAAACCGTAAATCTGAAATAACAATAAGTGAAACTGAATGAAAATATAGGCAGGATGATAAGAACTCGGAGAAGGAGAGTATTTCTCGGTGAACAAATCGAATTCAACACAAATTAGCGGCAGGGTAGGTTTACGAATCCGTCTTGTTGTCATGAGAAATTATTGCCGTGAGTATTCCCGCAGGACGAAAGGGAGAATGTCTTTTCCCGTGGGGTTATAATGCTGAGGACGAGCCGCTCGCGGTTATTAGTTTAGGAAGCTGCAAAGTACCCCGAAACAAAGTCTCTTCTCTCTCTGTCTCTCCACCAGGTAATCAATATACAGGCGACGACCCCTACCTCGTTTCACCTTGTCGGTTTATCCTGAACCATCGGCGAGAATCCCGGCTTACTTGTTCGTTGCCAGGCATAGCCGGCAGACAAGCAGTATCTTTAGCTAATAAAGCATCCCCTTTTGCTTCATCTCCCCTCCCTTATGAAGGGGCGGCCGACCAAATTATAATACGCCTACCTCATGTTTCTCCCCTGAAATGCTCTCAGACTTGATCGCTTTTCATCACGAAGCCGATTACGCGACCGGCATCCTTGAACATCTTTTTTGCCAACAGTACCTTGGAATACCTTTCCCGTAAACCGCCCGCTTAATGTGCTTTCAATTGGATAGTCCACGGTTATTAGAGGGGCAGATAGAATTTGGAAGTGGTTAACCATGTTGGACACGCTCAATTTTTTTTATGCCGATTTGTATTTAATGCTTAAGGAAAAGAGAAGGTCACTAATTGTAAGCTCTTTTAAATACACAGAGAATATGTAATTATTTGCATTAGAAACTTTTTACAAAATAAAAAATAAAATCTTGCAATCTTCCTGGTGCATTGTATTTTTTGTAGAATTTAATAAGTACGTATATCGTAGTGCAGCATCTCTGATGCGTTTCGAACTTCCCGGTAATTTTTGCAGATGTCTGGCGAGCATCTGCCTCGATTAAGTAGTGTTTAACCTGTAATTTATTCCACCGGCAATGGTCGGGCGTTCGCAATTTACGCTTTAAATTGAAATGTAAAATTATCGTAGTGCATTGGATTCCGATTCAAGAGTTCAGAGCGAGAGTGGAATGAATCTATAATTTGCAAGGTCTACTTAAGATTTGAAGTTTGTAAAATCTCGCAGATTATAGCTTTACACCGCTGCTGCTGTTCTCAATCCTTTCATTTGACGCTCTGTATATATTTTTGGTGCTGCTTTTGTAATTTTGGATTTTTTACGAATATTAACCAAATTAATGCTGCAATGGGTAATAATGCATCATTTATTTAAAACTGTCAAGGTGTCGCGAAAGAGAAGCTCTAGAGAATCGCGTGTATTTCATAAATTACGAAATGCGCGCAGTTGTATAGGTTGTAGGTTAGTGCGTTATTTACACAGACAATACATACTGGTGATAATAATGGAAATGCAGTCGTTAGTACCGCGGGGAAAAGGAATGACCAAGACACGTACACTAAGCTCGGTAAACATTGCGCAATTCACGTCGCGTACGCGTCATAGTTTGTTTGCACGTTGTTAAGCCGCGGCGAGAGTTGGAGAATAATTCTGTCCATTTCTCTATTTCAGTCCAAGCAGTACGGCGCTGGGTTCGCTGGACCAACTGAAGGAATATCTGACAACAGTGGGAACCTGCAAATGTGGCCTCGAGTGCCCACTCAGACCCGAACAGGTGTTCAACTTCGACCCCAAGGTAAATACGCAACCGAATGTTACAATTTCTTTAACATTTCTAAGGGAAATTAATCCTAAGAAAATTCATCAATTATACATAATAAAGACTGCTAGACTAAAGCCACAATGTTTTACACATTTACTTACTTTAGTTTAAAGTTATGCGTTACAATTGTGATGAGTATATACATTCAGTATATATGTATATGTAAATGTATGAACGTACATATAGATACTACACTGAGAGAAATGTTTTGTACCAATAACCAAAGTTTTTTACTGACACAAAAACTATTTGTTGATATATGATCAATCAAACCGTTGGTTACCACGACAATATTAATTTGTTGAATTTATTAACTAAACTGATTATTTAATGGTACAAAACTGTTTTGTATGATGTTTATAGATCTTTGGTAATTAGAAATAGAACATTTTGTTACCGGAACAAAATGAATAATACATAAGTATCTTTCACTTTCTACAGAGCGATTATGTTTGGCGTTTTTGAATTTCCTTAGCTTAACAAAAATATATATAGATTTAGAGCAATTGAGATTACTAATCGCTCTGAAAAAATAGTTACCATGATTGATCATGGTGTGGTGAGAACCGAGAAGTCCACGAGATTAGTCTCTAATCGTCTCGGCTTATAGAGGTAGACGTTGAATTTCTCTTACGAGAAGACACGCCATCTCTGATAGTTCCGCGAAGCACTCCTTGCTCTACCATAGTGGATTATTTTGTTGAAATTACTAAAAGAATACTTATTTTGTAATGGCAACCAAATTTTACATTGGTATTTACAAAACGTGAGTAACCAAATAAATTTGTACTGTTAAATAAAAAAATTTTGTTCGTCTTACAAAAAAATATTGTATTTTGTAATTTTAACAAAGTAATCCAACGATAATCGGCCATTTGTGAATAATTCTCCTTTTTTGTTACTAATACTATATCTTTTCTCTCAGTGTATGAGCATTATTAATGTGTGATTCACTCAGTATTAAAAGAGATTTCCGGAATTAGTATTATAGCGAGTCAATCAGTAGAATCGGGGCTGTCGCTCGATGACCCGATATGCGAACATGCGATGCCTCGAGCAGACAGACTGTTGCAGACTATGCATATACAGTCGGTGACGCGCTTATTCGGGACGTTCATTATGCTTTATCCTTTTACGTTTGCACCGTCGAGAGAGAGAATTATTCCGACGCGTCGCGACGGCGAAAGTTCATAGTACAACCTGTTATAACTACGCGTCATGAGCGCGTGAGCATAATCACGCTTAATCGCCGGCGGCAGTTAGGCACCGTTTATTTATTTATCGTGCGCTCGTAATTGGTTCGCGTTCTCCGTGTATATATGCAGCCGAGGCTCGTGACTTACCAGGGATAAAATATCGCCATTATGCGTGCAGACGACGACGAGGCGTCTCGCCGAGAATGTATCGCGCCGTGCCGATCTCACCTTCTCTTCGAATCGATTAGGAAGTGTAATTCTTTCTCGTGACGACTAGGAAGAAATTATTTCTCCTGACCGAACGAAAGAGACTCGATTAAGCGTTACCGTAAATCAAAGCGCGCGGCTCGACGCGACGTGTGTATCTAAAAAAGAGAATCTTCTTTCCCATTGTATTTAGCAATTTAGTAGATAATAATATTAACCCTTACACCGTACTAACATGGGTAAGTAGTGACCGAGCGATTCCTGTTCGTGCAAGTTTCTTGGAGTCTTTCGGTAATTATAAATTATACTACATTTTATTATTTTCTAAAATAAAGAGTCAATATTTATTCTAGACAGTTGAAAGTATGTTGGTGAATTTTTAGAAATTTTTTAAATTATTTCGAAGAGGTGAAAAAACGAAGAGATTTGAAGTGACCTTTGATGGCATGGATGAGGCACCAAATTGTAGATGTTACGATAAGGGTTAAATGCATTTAAACGGAAAAATATTAAAATGCGTATATATTTTACAATTATTGTGTGGTTTAAATCATCCTTAATCGGCAAATGCTCAGTGACATTTAGACTGACAACAATAAAGAAATATCGCGATTAGTAAAAATAATCTTTGGTTAAAATGTCAAAGAATATTTAAAATCGATTTTGGATTAATAACGATAATGAAAGCAGCTTTTATTGTTCTTCTTTGTTGTTCGATATCAACGTGTAATTGTCATAAAGTACTGGGACAAGATTTTTCTACGATGCATGTGAACAACAGCATCTTAAAAGTTATCGTTTCTTGGTCTAATCTTCTCTCGATTCCACCAAAAGTTTTCTCTCTTTCTGTCTGTCTCGTTTCGGATTCGTAGAAACGACAATGAATCACGTCCGTGGAACTGGTAAAGCAGTCCCGGAAAATTGTACCTCTCACGAAACATCGCCGCGAACAAAACACAATCGAGCGTCCTGGCGCTATTTCTGTCGGCACGACTGCCGTAAATACGTAATTTTTCTTACTTCCGCTATTTAGATATTTATGGTGCATTCGCGAGAACGCGGTGGCACGTATCTCGGCCCGCGCCAACGATCCCAAAGAAATATCGCGATCGTGCGTGCCAACGATCGCGGCTTATTAAGAAATATCGCGCCCCGGGCACGTAACCGTTGTTCGCCCGAAACGAAATGTGTGCTCCCTTGAAAAAAGAGCGCTGAATTTCGCGTTTACGGTGCGATGTCTAAAACTCTCCGAAGCACCAAAGTTCGGCCGATGTTTGTCGAAATCGTCTCACGATGATTGATCGATTGCGGTCACGCTTTCGATTCCACAGGATGAATTTTTTGGATACCGGTTTTTCGGGGAGCATGGGGAGAGATAAAGGGTATAATAAGGCTAATTTCATGCCGGCGAGGAGGAAAGGGGTTTCCGTGCATACATAAAAATTTTAGGGAAGCACTGGACACGTTGCGCCGCGCCGGTAGATAGCAGGAGACGACATAAAGCGAAAGAGAGAGGACGCTCATCAGTTTTGCTTAATTATTCCGGTAGCATGCGACGATATACGAGGAAAACGTATAATTATCCGTGCACCTGCTTGCTAACCACTCACTCAACCGCTGCTGCTCGCCGTCATATACCTAGTGCACCATCGGTGCGTTAATACATTCCCTAATTAAAGTTTATCGTGTTTCACCGATCTGAGGATACTCTCCGGACATAGGTACACCGATCTGGTCCGCCGTGTTGACGACATAGCGATCAACACGCTAATAATTAATAATCATTTGCATATCTCTAACACCGTAACACGAATACGATACGAATCGTATCGGGTTTATCGGTTATAGCTTGTGATTACTGCTGACATCTCTTATCGCTCCCATCCTTAACATGGTCATATAGATTCTTTGGAAATCTGAGATCGATGATTGAGTCGATAATCACTGTTATTTATATCCAATTTAAAGAGAGGAAACACTATATATATAAATTATTTCTATAATATAAATATGTGTTAAATCTTTAAATGCCATTGTTACTATTAAAAAATATTTAAAAATAACGTTAAAAGATTTAATTATTATATTATTATATCGTTCCCCCTTAAGGAGGTTGTAAGGCTGAGGCGGACAGTGAGAGGGGAATGCTTTAATACAAAAGAAATATGGAGTGTAGCCAACATTTGAACATTAAAATTTGAAGAAATAAATAGCTAAAATTTAAAGAAATATGGATCATAATGCAATTAAAATGCAAAAAATATTAGTGTTTATTTGTGTAAAAGTTTCAAAGATAAACATATATTTTTTAGAACAATAAATATTTTTAGCTCAAGAAATGATTTGGCAACGGTGTAAACCTGAAAAATCAAAGTTGATAACACTGCAAACTGCAATGTCTGACTGCAATGTCTGACGGGTAGATAAGGTTAACGTGACGCTATAAATGTTTTGAAGCGTTCTTTGACAAATCATTTAGTACAATTTTTTTTCTGTGATTAGTAAATCAAATGCTTAGAAGCATTTGTAGTGAGATTTTGACGGCACTACACAACTGATAGAATATTCTTCATTCGCTATGATGAAACAACGTTGCCACATTTTCTCCATCAAACAGTTTCAATGGCAGAAGTATTACATCTTTGGTTATATTTTTTACTATTGTTAATAAACTGAGTGGTAAAAGTTGTATTAATCTTTAAATATATTTTTAATATGCTAGGCTTTATATATTAAACATAAATTTATTCGATTCTTAACATTTCAAATATTAATATTTGTTGAAAACAGATACATAGAATCGAGTCTCCTATAAGAGAAAGAGAGATAGTCTATTATAAAATCCAGAATTTTGTTATTAATTACAAAAAATGCGCTGGTCAAAAAATCTGAAAAAATTTACACCAAATTTCAAGCAATTCTTAACATATTGCATTCTCTTTACAACCTCCTTAATTCAAAAGTAACACAATTAAAAAAATTAAATTTTTTAGAAAAGAGAAAATATTTTTCAACTTAACAGAATATCATTGACTAATAAAAAATCACCCTTTTTGTGTGTGTATGTGTGTGGGTTGTGACGCTTTTGATATTTTACAAAATTATAACAAATCCTGAATAATTTATAAAAGGTAACATAACTCGAAATATCATCATCGCTTTATATTTATCTTAATCGGTTAAAGTGACTAATTTTCTTGAAAATTTTCATTAAAGCTTTCATTGAAATTTTCAATTCTTTGACGCGTACGTCTCAATGAAAGGCTTAAAATAACAGCCATTACGGCGCGATTATATCAAGATATCTTAGACGCATTTCCACGATGCCTCGCCCAAGCAAAGCGGACTATCTTCTGGCATTCTCCAGCGAGTACAGATGGTATCGTGGCATCCACAATGCAAACTCACCTGGACAATAGCACTCGAGTGCTCGTCCGTCTCGGATAAAGAGGGGAAGAGAGTCTGGAAGAGAAGTATGTAGATTGTCGAGTGAAATCGGCATGGTGCTTGGGCACTTTGCGCTGCATCTCGAAGTGCATCGCATTCGTTCCCGGCAGTCGGCCTCTCAAG